TGGGTAATTCAGTGCCCTGATTACGAAAATGACATCCATTTTCAACGATGGCGCCAGGTGGCGTCGCCTTGTCACTACAGTTGTTTCCACGAAATTCGATGTAAACCTCTGGGTAGGGGTAATTTGGTGCCTCGATTACGAATATTCCACACGACCCGGTCTCTCCAGGTGAATCTTCAAAAAGTAGGGATCTTTGAGAAAACAGACAGCGTATTCTTGGCGCCTTATTCTGTCCGTGTGCGCCCTCTAGTGATTAGGGGAGAGGAGGGCTTCGAATGAGTGAGCCCCTCACCCTGTGATATCACACGCTCCATCTTTGTCACACGGTGCCTGATTGAGATTTTGGGGTTGTAATAATTGAATAGTGCCGAATAGTCTAATGCTTTGTGGATTTGAACTTGTTCGTTATGTTTCCATTTTCTTTGGCATTTCGTCCACTAATTGCACATTTTGAGGTGTCATGGATTTCATGTATGACACGGAAGTTGTTTTCACCGAAAGTTTTGCGGCCAAGCCAGTTCGGACACTCGTGGTGAGCACAAGTAGGTTTTACTAACGCAAAACTTGTCCACTTTTTTAAATGTATTTTATGTAAGCAACAATAATAATGTGGCTATTCAGATGCACCGCTTCATTCAATAAATACTAACATTGGACCATCATCGGGAGTCTTCACATTTCCTTCCGAAAGTCATTTTCCAGATCGTTTTATTTTATGGTGAGATTTCGATGCAATTTTCTGTATGTGTGAGTGCATTTCACAGAAGAAGTGAGAAGTACAATTTATTGCATGCTGCGCCAACTGCCATGGATTATTTGGTGCAAGCCGCCCACTTCGGAGAGTCTTAAAACACAGGACCTGCAATGTGACTCGGCTTTATTCTAGCTCAGCACATCTATTTAAACAAGCAAGGTTAATGGGTCTCAGTTCGACCAAAAAGTATGAAAAAGTCGGCGTCAAATATATCCAAAAATAGTAAGAGGATTGGTTTCTCATGCTCCTTTTGTAATTAAAAAAGCATCTAAT